AAGTGAGGATCTGGAAAATGTCCTGGCTTCCCAAAAATGACCTTGTTGGTTAAAAATGTATGACAGTCCTCACTCTGTAACAGAAATAAGTACAGACACACACGTTTGTTCTTCTATCCACATGGGGACTTTGCATTGACTTCCATTCACTTTCTGGTAATTTCTAAAGCCTAACCCTGATCCCTAACGCAGTGGTGTCCAAAGTCGGTCCTCAAGGACCGGTGTCTTGCATGTTTTAGGAGCTGCCCTTGTTCAACACAGCTGAACCTAAGAAGTGCTTAATTAGTATGCCTCTGCAGACCTTGATGGCAAACTGAGGAGGTCTTGGCCCTTGAGGACTGACTTTGGACACCACTGCCCTAACCCAACCAGAACTGACCCCTCCCCCATTTCTCATCCTACTCTGTATAAACCTCCCTTCTCTGAACTTTCCTCCCTCTGAATGAAGCATAGCACGTGACAAACACTCTGTGTAGGCTAAGGGTGTAACGATACATCTATATTGACATATCAGTTTGAATGGTTCATGATTCAGTTATGTCGAGACAAAATGAAAATATCGATCTGTAACATCATCATATGCTCGATGTGAATCTATATCATATGCCCATCTAGCTGTCATTGTGTTGGATGGGTATATGATATCATATTATATCGATTGCAGACATGTGAATTGAATTGAATTGAAATCATATCGTGACAGACTTTGTGATATCGAGAAATATGGAATYGTCATCCAAACATATTGATGTAATGTTGTATMGTGATAAAGCTGGAGATTTACACCCCTAGTACTGACTGAGTTCAACTCAAACAGTACGCCTACACTCACAGCCATATTCCTCTACATCTTACAGCACATACAGATCAACAGGCTGTCTCCAACTGGAACAGCCGACTCCACCTTGCACTTCCTGTAAAGATAGGACCCAATGGCCCAGGACTGGACCTGATCTGGAGCAAGTGTGCATTTCCTAAGAGATTTACCAACTCTGTGGAGCCATCGGGTGGCAGGTGGGACCATCTGAGTAAATACTCTGCAAACCTGACCACATTCGCTAAACATAAACTCACAGGTACATACCTGACTCTAAACCTCACAGGTACATACCAGACCCTAACCACACAGGTACATACCTGACTCCAACCTCACAGGTACATACCAGACCCTAACCTCACAGGTACATGCCTGACTCTAACCACACAGGTACATACCTGACTCTAACCTCACAGGTACATACCTGACCCTAACCACACAGGTACATACCTGACCCTAACCACACAGGTATATACCAGACCCTAACCTCACAGGTACATACCTGACCCTAACCACACAGGTACATACCTGACTCTAACCACACAGGTACATACCTGACTGTAACCACACAGGTACATACCTGACTCTAACCACACAGGTACATACCTGACTCCAACCTCACAGGTATATACCAGACCCTAACCTCACAGGTACATACCTGACCCTAACCACACAGGTACATAC